AATAATTAATGAATTATTAAGAATAAATAAATAAATAAATATATTTAATATAATAAATTTAAAAATGAATGAATTTATTTAATAAATAAACATAGAAATAAATTAAATAATTAACTAATTAAAAAAGATTAAAAAGATAAAAAATAAATAAATAAACAATAGTAAGATTTAATAAATATGATTTAATAAATGAACAAATTAATTAATTCAATTTATATTTATTCTTATTATATAATTAATGCATAAAATTAAATAAGATAAAAACATGCTGGATAAGTTGGTGGTTCATTCCGCTGTGATGACCCCGGATTAATAAAGTAAGCCAAGAATAAGCCAAAAAGAAAATGAATAAATGAATGAATGAATGAATGAATGAATGAATGAATGAATGAATGAATGAAATATGTAGTTTGAACAAGCAGCATAAACAACATTTTCTGAATGTCCAAAGCATGCTGGGAGATACCAATTTGATTTTACATTCTCCCTAAACCAACTGATTTCAACAGACGGCATTCAACATTAATTCCTTCAATCAATGAAATCGACAGAAACACGGCTCTGTTGTGCAGACCGTAACTTGTTTACATCAGGCCGTCTGTGTTTTCTCCTCTCAATGACTGAAGAGCAGACATCTGCTCAGGAGAGCGTTCAGATCTGCCAGGTGGACACGACTATTGTGAAGCTCATTCTGATGAAGTGCCCTTGTTGGGTTGCCAGAGAGCAGCTTGTAGTGTTCAAGGGCCACAGGTTCTGACAGGACAGCCAATAGTTCCTTAGTAACGCACTGAGGAGATCATTTTAGCAATGCTATTGTATCTGCAGCGTTGAGATTTAAAGAGAAGCCAGCCTTAAAGGGACAGTGGTTTTTTTCTTTAAGAAGATATTTTGAGTGTGTGTCACAGATGTGCAGTGGGAAGAACGATCGTCTTACAGCAAGAAGGTTGCTGGTTCGAGCTCCGGGTGGGTCAGTTGGCATTTCTGTGTGGAGTTTGCATGTTCTCCCCGTGTTGGCGTGTGTTTCCTCCGGGTGCTCCTGTGTCCCCCACAGTCCAAACACATGCGCTATAGGGGAGTTGCTTAACTAAATTGGTTGTAGTGTATGTGTGTGAAAGTGTGTGTAGGGGTGTTTCCTAGTGGTGGGTTGCGGCTGGAAGGGCATCCGCTGCCTAAAACATATGCTGGATAAGTTGGTGGTTCATTCCATTGTGGCGACCCCTAATTAAGCCGAAAAGAAAACAAATGATTGAAGATATTTTAAAGAATGTCGGAAACCAGTAACCTTTGACTTTTATTTGTTTTTCCTACTGTGGAAGTCAATGGTTACAGGTTTCTAACGTTCTTTAAATTATCTTCATTCATTCATTTTCAGCTTAGTTCCTTTATTAATCTGGGCCCGGTTTTTCAAAAGTAATTCACTGGGATTTTGGATAAGGGATTGGATCAAATCTTGAAAATGGGTTTTTCAAAAGAAAAAAACGTATTACCTAATGGGATGAGATCACATAATCCAATCTTGGTTTTGATCCGGATCAAACCTTTACTTTGGGTTTTTCAGACCTTTTTTGTAGGATCTGGATCACTTTGATCCAAAAAACCTGGATTAAACTGATCCCATCAGAAGGGTGGATTCAGTGTGGATTTTATGCCCCAAATGTAATGAAAACTTAAAAAATGTATTAAATAACACTATTTTGGATCATGCAGTATCTTACGAGATATACAATTTATTAATAAGGTTTTAATTTTATTTGTTCATCTGTCAGGCTATAGTGATTATTGGCTTTAACATATTTAGGCTTTCAGTATAGGCCTACAGCAAACAGCTGTCAAAATTGACCAGAAACAATACATTTTATTCTGTCACTAATTGGTATATATATATATATATTCATCACAATGGAAAATATTTATTAGTGATGCATGCAATGATTACAGAATAACCAAGAAAATGCAAAGAATGGCAATCACTGATTTTTGAAATCACCTTCAACAATTGCAAAAAGAGACTGAAAGGGCAGAAGCACAGCTTCATCTGGCTGAGGAACAACTGACTCTGACCAAACTGCAGCAAACCAAGGCCAGATTTGAGATTCGCCTCCTAAAAGCTTTGCTCAGACAAGCTGCTCCCTCCATATCAGATGAGGAAGTCTGAAATTATTGTGGAGTTTTTGACATTAAGTCTTTTTTAATTTACATCTATATTTGTAACTTATTATAAATACCTCAATGTACAGTGTTTGTGTTGTAGGTCTCAGATAAAGGACTGCTGGAAGAGCATGGGGTGGGGTTTTTATTTATTTATTTATTTATTTTTTAAATGTGTTTTCATTTCTAATAAAAATAAAGTTATATTGACCCCACACTGGCTATTCTACTTGTTTCTCTTTACATAGGCTTATCAATCCATCTACATTGTGATTGAGCACTGGTAATCCAGATTTAGTGATCCTGAAAAGTTCCTATCCGGATCAGATTGATCCAATCCAATGTTACTTTGAAAAACTGGCTCAAAAAGTAAGCTGGATTACGTGATCACGGATCGCAAAAAACAGGATTAATAAATCCTGATCAATTTTATCCGGATTAAACCTTTTGAAAAACCGAGCCCAGGGGTCACCACAGCGGAATGAACCGCCAACTTATCCAGAAACTCATAATGGTTTGCAACCACTTGATCTCACGAGGAAATGTAAGTATTTAAGTTTTGTCCGTTTAGTGGCTAATACGTACGTATTCATATTAAGGGTGTCACGATCCTCCAAATCCTCGATTCGATTACATTTTCGATTCTAAAGGCACGATTCGATTCAATTTTCGATAATGAACAATTAATTAATTAATGACCAATTAATTATTTGTAGCCTACCGTTTAAACTACCTGACCTGCATGGTCTTTGTTTTACCCATAAACAAATCATACAGTAAATGAATAAAGGCAAGATACACACATAATGACCACCTGTCAATCACTTTTTCTGCGGGACTCGTGAATAGGCAGTGATCTGTGTCGTTATAATGGCGTCAGTAAAAAAGACGCACAACCAACAGGAACCAGCCAACAGTATCTGAGGTGTTCGCTAAAATGACGAAGTACAGGTGAGTGAAAGATTGAAGCAGTCCTCTGACTGCCTGGACCTGCTGTCTCGAGCGCATGGCTGTGTGTGCGTCTGTGTCTGTGTGGTCACGTGATGTGCATTTTCAGAGGTAGAGAGGAAGGAGGGCTGCTCAGAAATGCTACACGCCACTGTGGATGTCAAATCGTTGTCGTTCTAAAACGCCATTTAAAAACAAAGACAGTGTAAACAGGGCCTGAGTGTGCACTTTTCACGAGCGGATTTGCAACGGGGGCGGGCGGAGGATCGCGATGCCGGTGTTGTCTACCGGACGAACCGTACGTAATACGTACATAGCAGAGCTTGCAAAACTGTGTTTTTTTTTGTCGACAACACGAACGTTGTCAACATAACTCACTGGAAATCCAAAATGCTTCCACACCGGCGACTTCATTGAAAGAGGAGAGGGTTTAAGCTCTGTCGACGGGTCTCCTGCGTCTGCCGTTTAACAAGCACTTCAACAAGCCTGTTTTTTTCCGCTTGGCAAGCCAAGCTGACATGACATGGGGGCGTAAATTTAGCATAAATTTCGATCGATTTCGATTTAAAATCGAAATCGTGACACCCCTAATTCATACGAGTAGAGTCGTACGAAAATGTACACAATTTAAAAATGAGGCGTGTCACCCAACCCCGCCTCTAAACCTAACCATCATTGAGTGATGAGCAAATCGTACTAAATTGTACGAATTAAATCGTACAAATTCATACGAAGTAGCCACTAAATCAAAAAGTGACCAATTGCCGTAAGATTGCGTTGGTAAATTTTAATTTTATCCCATATTTTAGTTACCGTGGGACACTGTGTAGTCATGGCGACTTAATAATGTAAACAGAAGCCCAGTTCTTCTGATTGGTCCACTGCTTTGGAACTGACATTGATGAGCGGTGCTGCATAAAAGAGAGGCAGGAGGCAATGTGGTCAGATTTTCACCACCTAAATGTTTTATTTGTGTTTTTGCAATGACAACTGGCTTTTTAAATCTCTATTTTTCTCTTGCACTTGCTAACACAGGAGATGCGTTGGAACTGTAAACAGTGAAAATGATAAAATACATTTCATAAAACTACTTACAAGCAGAGTGCGTCCAAGGCAGAGGACGACCGTTCTCGTATTTCCACCCCGTCCGTCACAATACATAATCATTTGTGTAGCTTCACATATTTACATAGGTACATCAACGCTACGCGGCGTGCGTGTGTTTTTATCGTTTTATCATCTTTTCTTAAGAATCATATGTACATCCATTAAACCCGGCTGCCTGCTGCCAGGGATACACAGTTTAAAATAGATCATGTGCTAATGTAATTCTTACATTACCTGTAACTAACAACAGAATTAATACAGAGCTCAATCCATTGTCTTTTTCATAAAAAAAAAAGTCAACTTATCAAGAAGATAAGTCGGCAAATGAAAATAATAAACATATTGCACTTACATCAGGACTGCTGCGGACCTGGATCAAAAGTGGGGAAATCAGCCGAGTGCAATGAAGAAAGCAACCAGTGGAACGTCTAAATAAATAACTATTGTTTTGTACATGTCGTCTTATTAACAAGGGTCAGATCCTAACCGACCTTATTAAATATAGTAGAGTGCATGATTATTAAACCTAAAGTCCGGTAAAACCAGCGTAGAAACGAAAGGTTAAATAAGTCTGGAAGCTTCATAGTCGAGTGCCATAATGTCCTGAGAATACGGTCTCTTCCATTCCTAACGTGGAGCTACATGGAGCGGCTTTGCAGATTGAAAAGCGAATGTTTTGGATCGTCTTTAGAGACCGACGACAGTCCATTTCCAATGATTCAGCTCTCGGTTTGGTCCTCTAAAGCATTTGCATCAGCTCAATGTGGCATGGAGGAAGGTTTACAGAGACAACAATGAGCGATAAGTGCATGATGACCTTCCGTCCAGTCTTCCGTTGGGGGTTGAGGTTTTGGAGGGAGATCGGTGGCGCCAGCAGTGCTCGATCAGAAGTAGAGGAAGAGGCTAAACAGTACCCAGCTGTCTTAGTGTTAAAGATTCTCTCCAGTACACTTGGAATACAAATTAAATAACAAAACTTGAACGGGAATAACCAGCATTATTCAGCATGGCGCTGGCCCCATTGGGTCGAGTCACATTACATTATCCTCATTATGTAAACGACGCCTTTCGCCACATGAGCGACAGTTAGAACGGCTGATGACAATGAAGCGCAATTTAACTACTAGTCTCTCTCGCTCTTGATGCGGATTTAGGACGAGGATGATGTCGATGTGGTGCTTGGTTTCTTCTGATTCACTAAGTCCATGTAGAGTTCCGAGCGCAGAAATCGAGGATACGAGTCTTTCTCCATCAGGCCGTATATCCTCCTCTGGGCCAGCTCGAAGCAGGAGCGGTTGATGTTTTGCAGGTTCTCCTTAGTGTGTTCCCTGGTGTAGGAATCCAAATTCACCTGGAGGACAAACAAAGAGTTGTTAAGCTCCCAAAAATCATTCGACGTCTCGATGAGACACCGTTGCATACAATTTAATCAGAAAGCAGGCTACAATCCATTCATGAAGCATCTGTGAATCCCTAACACAATGTAAACATTCAGTCTTGTTTTGGGATTCATTCATTCATTTTCCTTCGGCTTAGACTCTATTTCAGAGGTCGCCACAGTGGAATGAACCACCAACTATTCCAGCATATGTTTTACACAGCGGATGCCCTTCCAGCTGCAATCCAGTATTGGGAAACACTCATTCACACACAAACTCATACACTACGGCCAATTAAGTTAATTTAATTCTCCTGTACACTGTAAAAAAAAAGTATAAAAAAAAAAGGTCAAATGACTGGCAAAAAAAAAACCTTAAAATTGTGGTAAAATTTCTTTGTTGAAATAAAAGTACAAAAAATAATAAATCTACAGATATTTTCATTAAAATGTTTACAGAAAAACACAGTTATTTTACAGACTTTTTCTAGATTATTACGATCAAATCCGTTTAATAAATAAAATGAATAAAATCCGCTAAAAGTAATTACAATTTATTACTTTAATTTTACCTAATTTTAAATTTAATAAAAAAAAACAGGAAAAAACAGTGTGCAAATAATACAGCAGTTTTATTGTATGAAACAGGTCTGTAATTTGTCATTAATTATATAGTACATAAAATAACAGTCAAGCTGCTAATTTAGAGATATTTAAAAATTTAAATTTAAAATAAAATTTAAATTTAAATTTAAAAAACTGCAAAATTACTGTATAAATAACACTGTAATTTCCCTGTATAAAAAACAAAAATGTCAGTAATTTGTATTTAATGATGTAGTCCCTAAAATGAAACTCAAACTGTTAATTTAGAGAGATTGTTGGTAATTTTACTAAAAACTAATTTTTTTGTAATTTTTTAAATAAGTTTTGAATATAATTTGAAATGACAAAAAAATACTGTAAAAGATTTAGAGATATTTTCTGTAAAATTAGTTTTTTTTAACAGTGTACCGCATGTGTTTGGACTGCGGGGGAAACCGGAACACCCAGAGGAAACCCACACCAACACAGAGAGAACATGCAAACTCCACACAGAAACACTCAAACCAGTGACCTTCTTGCTGTGCTAACCACTGAGCCACCGTGTCGCCCCATGAAAGAATTAAATTCACATATTAGTTTTTATAAATTTGTGAATTTGAACATAAAGCGATTAAGTTGTCTAAAAAAACTGAAGAATTGTGTCGTTTCAGCTCATTTTAGATGTTTGAACAAACAGCCACAGTCATTTTTTCGAGTGCAATAGCAAAATGCATTTGCAGCCATTTTTGCGCTCATGGGTGTGTTGGTCACAAAAAAATGGCGGTGTTTTAAGCTGCATCGTCGGCACATTGCTATTTTAAAGCAAGTGAAATAGTTTCATAAAGTGAAACTATAGGTGCATAGGTACAGGGAGTGTGTTTGGATATAACTCTAGCTTTTTGAACACACTTCATTGTTAATGTTTATGTTAATTAGCCCCCTTAAGCTATACAGTTGAAGTCAGAATTATTAATCCCCCCCCCCCCCCTCCTTTTTTTTATTTCTTTTTTCTTTTTTAAATTTTTCCCAAATGATGTTTAACAGACCATGGAAATTTCCACAGTATGTCTGATAATATTTTTTCTTCTGGAAAAAGTCTTATTTGTTTTATTTTGGCTAGAATAAAAGCAGTTTTTATTTTTTTAAACACCATTTTAAGGACAAAATTTTTCGCTCTTTTAAGCAATTTTTTTCATATAGTGTGAACAAACCATCGTTATACAATAAATTGCCTAATTACCCTAACCTGCCTAGTTAACCTAATTAACCTAGTTAAGCCTTTAAATGTCACTTTAAGCTGTATAGAAGTGTCTTGAGCAATATCTAGTCTAATATTATTTACTGTCATCATGACAAAAATAAAATAAATCAGTTATTAGAGATAAATTATTAAAATTATTATGTTTAGAAATGTGCTGAAATAAATTTTCTTTGCATTAAACAGAAATATAGAGGGGGCAAGAGTCCCCAGATTAAGCTGAAATCTAAACCTAGACTTTATTCCAAAACTAAATAATCTGGCAACGTGCAAATACACAAAGCAACATCTAAAGCTTAACTCCGGGAAAGTCTTGCCGCTTGTCTTATTTTCAGTTTCCAACCTGCCGTCCAAGTTTGGAAAAGGAAAACATGCACTGAGGCTATCTGCTGTTGTCTGCAGCCAAGCGGGAGTATATTACTCAGGCATGACATCATTTCCTCCATAGCTTTGACATATTTTTTAGACTCGTGACTCAACGCAGAGTATTTTAAGAACATTTCCAGCCTCTTTAACTTGCTTAATAATACAGGATGGTGTTGTTTATATGCAGTGGTGTACATTTAACTCCCAATACCGTCTGTTAAAAAGTACACATTTATTGCAATTATTTTTCATGATTAGAGTTTTTGTTTTGTTTCTAGTCCAAATATCTAAACATCCTTAAAAATGTTTTGCTTTCAGAAATAATAAGTCTTAATAAGTCTAAATAATAACTCTAAATTAAATTTTTTTTTTTACTATTAATATATGTTAAATTATCTGCCAGCGGGGTGAGTAAAATAAACTGATATCGGCATTAAAATACCCCATTGTCAGATTATTTGAATTATTTTATATATATATATATATATATATATATATATATATATATATTTTTTTTTAAAGTAATATTTGTTGACTAGAAAATGCTCCCTAATATATTTTTATTTTTATTCTTAGATATTTCAATTACAAACAATTAACTATAAGTAAGAAAACTTTTTTTTGCAGAGAATAAAAGTTAACTTATTTAGAACTGAAGACAATATTAATGTATTTACCACATTGTCAGATCATTTAAAAATTATTTATTTTGATTTATTTTTTCTGAATCAGAACAATATTTTTTCACTCGTCTAGAAAATTCTTCTTGATTTATTATTATTATTATTATTATTATTATTATTAAGATATTTTGATCATAAACAAAACAAAAACTAAAATATTTTTTTAACTCATCTAGGAAATGCTTTTTAATTTATTATTATTATTATTTTTAGCTATATTTACTATAAACAAAACAAAAACTCTAAGAAAATATTTTTTTGCAGAGGATAAAAGTTGATGATAAAATAAATAAAAGTTATTTCGAACTGAAAACTAATTTTGCTCACCCCAGTGTCAGATTCAGATTAAATTATTTATTCTGATTTATGCTTTTCTAAAACATTACTTTTTTTACTCGTCTAGAAAATGCTTCTTGATTCATTTATTATTATTATTTAGATATTTTGACTATAAACAAAACAAAAACTATAAGTTACAAAATATTTTTGCAGAGTATAAAGGGACTAAGCAGAAAAATGAAAATGAAAAACTATAAGTAAGAAACTTTTTTAAAGTTTTTGCAGAGTTTAAATGTCACCAAAAAAAAAATACAAAACTCCAATCTCACCTCCTTACAGGACTGGATAGCGATGAACTCCGCAAAGATTTTTTTAGCTTTCGATGTCATCTTGGACTGCGATTTAATCTTCTTGTAATCCTCGCAGGCCAGCCAGAAATCCAGATTCTCTTCACTAAACTCTGTGCGCAAGAAAGCTCTGAACGCCGCCAGTCCATCTGATGAGGGAGAGAGGAAGAAAAAACAGAGAGGCAGAAGAAGGGGAGATGTTATTGGATGGATAAACTGCACCATGGCAACCACAGCCTCCACTGGAAAGGCAGCAATGAACGCCAAACCCTGAGTCACTATACCAGCGCATTAACACAAGAACACGACTCCGACCAGCCATGTAATTACATTTGTCCTCCTCCGAGACTCCTTGAAGATTTTCATGATGATTTTATTATTTAGTAAGCAAATCGAGTCGTCGAGGCTCAACTTGAAATTTAAAACAGTCAATTTATTTGTACTGCTGTGGCCAGAAAGTCGCTGCCAGGAACATGCATGTACGCGCTGCAGTAAATATAATGACATTTGTACTGTTTCTATGCAATATGTGT